CTGCGAGGACGGGCTGAGAGAGCTGGGGCTGTGCAGCCTGGAGAACGGAAGGCTGAGGGAGACCTGAGGGCGGCCTGTCTGTGTCCAATGGGGGGCTGTAAGAAAGATGGGGACAGACTCTTCAGCAGGCTGTTGCATCATGCTCAGCTTCTGATATGTTCCCACGCTATCTGTAAATTGGAATGAGATAGATTTGAAGGCTGGATTATTTGATGGGTATGGAATTGGTTGAGTGGTTGCAGTCAGAGGGTTTTGGTCAATGGCTCTATGTCCAGGTGTAGGCCAGTGACTGGAGGTGCCCCCATGGGCCCAACTTGTGACTGTTATTCTTTAATATTTTTATCAACCACATAGACACCGGGGTTGAATTCACCCTCAGCAAGTTTGCTGATGACACCAAGCTGAGTACAGTTGTTATGGCAGAAAGAAAGGATGCCATTCAGAGAACCTGGACACACTCAAAAAGTGGGCCAATGTGAAACAAATGAGGTTGAACAAGTACTGTGTTCAGATTTAGGCCACTCACTGTAAGAAAGACACTGAGGCCCTGGAGTGTGTCCAGAGAAGGGCAACGAAGCTGTGAGGGGTCCGGAGCACAGGGCTTATGAGGAGCGGCTGAAGGAGCTGGGATTTGTTCAGTGTGAAGGGGAGGCTCAGGGGAGACCTTACTGCTCTCTGTAACTCCATGCAGGGAGGTTGTACTGAGCTGGGGGTTGGCCTCTTCTCTCGTGTAACTGGTGGTAGGACTGGAGGGAGTGGCCTCCAGTTGTAGCAGGGGAGATTCAGGCTGGACATAAGGAAATACTTTTCCGAAAGAGTGGTCAGGCACTGGAACGGGCTGCCCCGACCGTGGAGGTGTTCAAGGAACATTTAAACATTGTGTTGAGGGACATGTTTTAGTGAGAACTGTTGGTGTCAGGTGGATAGTTGGACTGGATGATCTTGTACCAGCCTTAATATTCTATGATTCACTGATCCTGTAAGTGCAGGGTGTTGCATTTGAGTCAGTGCAATCTCAGGTGTGTGCACAAACTGGGAAAAGAACTCCTTTAGAGCAGCCCTGCAGAGAAGGACTTGACATGAAAGATTTAACATGACCCAGTCCCCCTCTACTCTGCCCTCACGAGCCCCACTTGCAGTACTGTGTAAAGGATTGGGCCCTCAGCACAGGAGGGATGTGGAGCTGCTGGGGCTGGTCCAGAGGAGGGCCACAAAGATGTTCAGAGGGATGGAGCACCTCTCCTGCAAAGAAAGGCTGAGCGAGTTGGGGTTGTTCAGTCTGGAGAAGAGGACCTCTCATTGCATCCTTCCAATACCTGAAAGGAACCTACAGGCAGGAGGGGAACTGACTTTTACACAGTTTGATAGTGACAGGACAAGGGGGAAGCTCTAAACTAAAAGGGGAGATTTAGGTTAGATGTGAAGAGAAGATTGCTCACTGAGACAGCAGTGAGGCTGTGGCACAGACTTTCCAGAGCAGCTGCGGTGCCCCATCCCTGGGTTGGATGGGGCCCTGGGCATCCTGAGCTGGTGGGGGCAAGCAGCCCATGGCAGGGGTTGGGGCTGGGTGAGCTTTGAGGTCCCTTCCAAGGTAAGTCATTCTGTGATTCTATGAAATGACACCAGGCTGCTTGGAAGGTTTCTAGGGCTGGCTCCATGACTGAGGCTGATTAATGAAGTAAGGGCTGGACTCCTTGGTTAGTTGTCACTGTTACTCCAAGATCACATCTCATGTGATGGCTGCACTGGTTCCAGGGAGGTACCCTTCAGCCCTCACCTGTCAACCCCTTGCTGCCTCCATGTGGACACTGCAATGGAACATCCCACCCAGGCCCCTGCATTCACACTGGAAGCACTGTGCAGTGCAGCTTCCCACATCCACAGGTGCCATGGCTTGAGTTCAGCTGTGGCTTCGGAGTATGTGGGTGGTGGCGCAGTGCTGGCCACCCTGGGGCACCGTGCCCATGTCACACTGCTGCCTGCTCCCTACCACCTGTGCCCATTGTCCCCCCTTGTAGGACTGGAGAATGGGTGCCAGGACAGGGATGTTTGCTCCTTGCCAAGGAACAAGCCGTTCACCCTCGTTGGCCACCACAATAACCACATCCTGATCCAAACAGGCAAAGAACAAAAACAGCTGTGAAAGTCGTCACGCCTTCTTAGAGGCTGCTTTTATTGGTGTGACCTACTGGCATCGCCCTTTAAGCTTATACAATGACTTCTACAATAAGT